CTTAAAGCATAAACCTTAGATTTTGATAGTGCGGTATGGGTTCAGAAACCTAGCTCATCTTTTGCTCCCTATGAAATAAAATTGGTCTTGACCTGCTATATCTGTCTACTTTTAAAATGAGTTTTAACAGTAGCTATATGTGTTAAAGGTAACTAAGAAATCTATTTTCTTGGTTTGATTGCTGAATAAAACCCCTTATGTCTACTATTTAAGATTTAGAACAATTAAAAGTAGATTCTGAATAGAGTTGTCCCTTATGTATAAAGAGTGAAGAATAAAAGTACAGTTTTATTTCTTAAAAATATGTTGACATATGGTTTTATTATTTATATAATAGCATGTTGTTTTCTCAAGTTGCTCTTTAATCTACCTTTTAAACTGAGCCTAATATTTATATGTATCAAAATTTCTGCAGGCTGTGTTCGTATCCTCAGCACCTCACCCTTCAACTGGTGGAGAGATGTAGAATAAGAAAGCTGCAACTGCTGGCTCACCAGTACATGATCCCAGCCAAGGTTGAATTTCATGTTGGTGACAGCCTGCCTGAAGCCGGCCCTCCAGGCTTCCCTGGACAGTTTCACAGACTTGGGTAAGACCTCAGACTTTACCAGGCTTAATTCTGACAATTTTATTGAGCATGCACTATTTTTACATAGTTTGGAAGATTCCTCAATTTTGCAGACCTTTTTTCACTCAGACCATTTTCATGTTGAAATGCCTAAAAAAAAAAATAAACACACTAAAACTGGCGATTTTTGGAATTTATACCAACAAAATAAAGGCACTAATGTCCATGAAGAATCTGCATTCATCACAGGTCACTTATTTGGCAAGTAAGTGTTAGATGTTGTGCAATCGCACTGATCTAATTTAGTCCAGATGCAAAGAAACCTGTAAAATGGCCTTATACACACTCTGAAAATCAAGAGCCAGTTTCAGCACTGCAAGGTTTCAGGATTTACAGAACCAATTCCATGTTCCAATATGAATCATTTCTACTCAAAGTGTTATAAAAACTACTTAAAATTAAGTCTCGAAAAATATTATATGAAAACTGTGCGACCATTCTACCACAGTAAATGTGGATAATCACATCAGCATTACACGATGGTCACTCACTGGGAAATCATAATGGATTTATTGATTGAATGATTGAGAAAAAAATTAATGAATTGACATTTGTATTCTCTAGCACCTGCTCAAGGTATGATCTAATCTAAAATAACAGTTGCACTTTTTCAACAGGTATGTGTCTTTATCGGATAACGAGAAGACGGGCTTCAAAGCCCGGGAGCTGAAGTCGGTCCACGTTGATGCCGTCGGAACATATCTGAGAATAACCCTCCACAGGAACCATGCCAACCGTTACAATCGCTACAATCAGGTAATCTGTTGGTGCATTTCTCCCAGATCAGAAACAAAGCTACTGGGGTTGCTTCAGGTTGGTTTTCATTTTGGTTCTCTACCAGAGGTAAAAATTTTTGCACAGTATCTTTTTCTTGAAAAAAAAAAAAAAGACTGATTTACTGATCTTAACTGAGGTAGTTGAGGCCTGCAATATTTAAGATTTTGCTTTTTTTGAAACCTCAGTAACAAGTTAATGGAGTAATTTTGAAAGGTGGATCACTCCTGGGAAGATTCACTAGTTGTTCATGTTTCCTTCATTTGTGGAGAATGGTTCAATGTGTTTCATTTGAAGCCAAAATTCCCCAAAAAGGACTTTTTAATTCTTCTCAAACTGATGTCAATAAATTTGACTTCTTCAGGTTGCACTGGTCGCCATTAACGTTCTGGGAGATCCTTTGGATAGTATCACACGTAACACAGGGGTAAGTGAACAGTCTCCTCATTTCTATCTGTGGTGAATTTACATTTGTACAACAGAAGGGGGGGATGTTGAACTGTCTTTGGACTCACCATTGACTGGTCGGGCAGATTAAATAGATTTTTTTTTTAATACAACCTTAGACCAAACCCATGACACATTTCAAATTTTAATTTTGCAATGTTAAGAAATCTTTCTTTCATACTTTATTGCATAACATTAACATAATGTTGGTCAGTTTAGCACTTTTTTTTTTTTAACTTAACAGCAGAAGCCATTAAGTTTGAGATATTCCTTTTTTGTTTTCACAAGCTGAAGTAGCTGCAGATAATTGACAGAATAAAGCAGGATGTTGGTGACGGAGACGCACCAACATCCTGCTCGCACGACCTATTCAAATGAGTTAATTTATAATTTTGGCTCAATTTTCAAAGTATTTATTGTCACATTGGTATAGGCATATAGTTAAGGCTCTGGCCCAACTAAACTCCACAAGTGCCCAAACTTATTTGTACAAGTGTTTATGTATGTCATCCGTGTAGTAATGAGACACAAAGAGAGGGCACTATGTAATCAAACAGGAGACCTTCAGTTGGTGAGTGTAATCAGATAGTCCTGCAGATTGATGGCTCCTGGAGGAGCGAGACTGCCTTAAAACACACACGCGCACGTACATGCAATAACACACAGAAACGCAAGGAAAGTGTGGAGTCCCCTCGCACAGATTCCAGTGAACAAGTCGTGCATTGTTGCTTCTCTAATCCCGCTGAGCACCTTCATTACTGCAATGTTCTTGCCTGTTGGCCACAGCTGGGTCTCCTGGATCTGCTTTATGTTTGTTCTGGATGTTGAAACTGTGATGTAGATATGTAAAACGAGGATTATTTACTTCTTGGTTGAACTAAATTTGATTAAAAACATCTCATCTCTACCTTGTCAGCACTCCTTTCTTTAGGAGTGTTGAAGTATTATTTACAAAATAATGCAAAGTTGGCACTTAGAGCAACTTTGCATTAAAAGTGTCATTATTTATCGAATAACACATCATGACATCAGTCATAGACATTCATGAAGCCTCCTTCATGTTCATGACAGGTTATGTCATGTTTATGACTGTGTCACGTTAGTCTTACTCACTCCCCGTCCAAATAAAGTGCTACCAAAACGGCTTCTGACACAGCAACACGCTCCTCTACTTTACATTAAGGGATTACAATCTTTTCTTTTATGTTCCTTCACACAAAACGGTGGCCTTCAAAAACTTGTAGGCAAGTGTCCACTTTGACTAGACCTGATGTTGTCACTTAAGGCTTTACTGGAAAGTTCCAGCACTTCCTGCTGGCTAGGCAGCAGGAAGTGCTGCATGACGATAAACTTTGTTCCATGTCATGACAGCAGCTTTTAAGCTGAGATATTGGAAACATTTCATCAAACGCTGGTTTGTTTGTGTAATTATTAACTTTCAAAGCATTTGAAGGACTGAGTGGGGATTTATGTGTGTGTTTATGTGTTCGCAGTAGTGTGTGTTCCAACAGAGCTTTTCAAAAGTATTTTTATGCCATTAACATTTTCTTACAAAACCACAAACTTCAGTTTATTTCGTTAGGATTTTATTTGATTGACCAAGATAAGGCAGTCCATAATTGCGCAGTGGAAGCAACAAAATGCATTGTTTTCAAATTTTATTACAAATGCACGTAAAGCAAGGAAAGCGTCACACTGAGTCGGTACTGTGCAAAACGTCTTTTTGATGTAGTTGGAGCATTTGGGTTTGCATTGGGAATCAGAATTTCCCATATAGAGTTTTATAATTTTTCCATTCAACATGCTCAGTCTGATTGAATGGAACGTCATGGTGTAACGTGAACGCCAATTTTCAAGTAATTCAACAAATTTTCAGTTGCATTTAGGGCTGAACTTTAATCCGTAAATACACCTTATGCATTAAATCCTGAGTTTGACACTCAGGGTTTGATCTAAACTCTTTGATGGATTAAATTAGGGCTCTTTATGACAGGGAAAACTCAAACTTTAGCCCTCCACTATACAGAAATAAGTGTGCAGCCAATCCACTTGTGTAATTTGTCCATCTGTTTAGCCCCAGCCAAGCAGAGACCAGCTGATTGAACTGTCCATCAACAGTACCCAGCAGGAAGCTGCCCTGGACACGACTTTCATGGGGTGAGACTCGGCCGTTGAACCCTGGTTCCTTTGTTTTGTGACAATAACACAGTCCACCAAAACCATTCAGTCTGGGAGACAACCAGACCAGTAAGCCATTCAGGGTCACATACGTTTGAGGACAATGCAGATAGTTTTTTGTGCGAGGAAACAAAACCCATCTTTGAAATATATACAGATATGCTTACTTCTTAACATTTTAATCTGCGTAAATGATACAATTAGATTCTTTTTACATACTTTGATCAGGAATTGTACAGAAGCCTTCTGAGGATTGTGATATAAATAAAGTACAGAAAAAACATTTACATCGGAGCGCTGCAACAAGCAATCCTGTCAAATGGAGAATAATTTACTATATAAAATAATAAATACATTTTCTATGAGTACTCATGGTGTTGTTACATGTCTTTGATCATAAATTTAATCTCTGCGGGATTACCGATGCAATATTACCTGTGGAGATGCAACTTTTTATACAAGTGATCTCAGTCTTTTTTTTTTTTTAACATTCTTCACCAAAGAGCTATTAATTGATAAAAACGTAAACTGAATTCCTACTCCAATCATGCATTTTCATGCTTTCTTTCGCATTCAGCAAATGTTTATCAATCTCCCAATTTGATGATTTGGCCTTCGACATGTACCAGGACCCGGAGGTCGCTCACATCATTCGTCTCTTGGACCAAAAGAAGCAAGCCGTTGTTCGACAGGAGAACTTTGAGGAGGCCAAGAAGTTGAAGCAAGCCATCGCAGACCTTCAGAAGGTAGATTCAAAAACGTTTTATTCCCTTTACATTAAGTAGAAGAAGTATTCGTAATGCAGTCAGCATGGTAGGCATGACATTCACAGAGTGTAAGAGCTTGGAGGGAAAATATCTTGACAGTAAAACAAAGATTTGAAAGAAAGCTGTAGGACAATTTTTTTTTTTTTTTTTTTTACAGAAAAGCAACACACTTTTACACTTCTTCACAGTAATATAACATTAGTATGATACAATTCTTATTTAGAACTTTATCCATTGATTCTGGATTATTTTGATTGTTATAAATAGAATTTAGCAAATTAAAAGAAGCTTTTTTAGCTAGCCAATAGACAGTTTTTGTGAATAAGTAATTCTGTGTTTTTCTCTCTCTTTTAGCTATTTGCATACTCGTATAAACACACGCACATGAGCACGTATGTGTATACACAGCTAAGGTTAAGGAAAGGACACACTAGGGAACGCCCTCTTTAGGGCGTAGCTTAGATGGAGGCCTGCAAAAGGAATCAGAAACTGTTGCTAGGTCCCATTTGCTGTGTTGTCCCTTAAGGAAAGCATGGTGATGGGCCAACGCTGCATTTGGGTCTTAATAAATGAAATTGATGAATTCAACTCACTGACTCTTCAACCTCATAAACTATGGACCTTAGCAGGAGAAAGGATAATCTCCAACACGGTGCAGAGCAACAGAATGAGGAAGAACAGCGGTGGAATAATCTGTGCTCCATTTACCTCTAGAAAATGATTTATATAAAATCATTTTCACTGTCCAACTGCATCATTGTTATTGTTGTACGCCACAAACACATCAGACCTTGTTGGTGCAACTTATGTTCTTGGACGTCAGTCCTAGTATTGCATTAAGCAACAGGTCAGAAAATTAAAACATGTTTTAAAGTAATAAATAAATCATTTATATCTACTTATGACCAGCTAGACCTTTTCACATCAACTCATTATGTTTTGTCCCCTGAAAATCTAAATTATTCTGCAACTTTGTCTCCATTTGTAACAGAAGCTGTTAAACATTGTTCAGATACCTGCTACAGTCCTCCTTTGTGTTCAGCGTTACCATGCAGACCATGAATTCTTAACGAGCTCGACAGCTGCTGTCAGGATACCTGGCCAGTGTGTGTCCGACTCCCAGTTGAAAGGCCTTTTGTAACCAGATAACACACAGTCTTACAAGTACTAGTCGCTTGTTAGCATGGCACGTTAGCATTGTGGACACAAGTTAGTCATGCTGAAAATCCCCCGTCGTCACACCCTCATGACGTCAGAGTTATCCATTATGTAGCATCTAAGGATATATGAATAAAACGCACAACAAACTGACTTGCTCCGTTTCTTCCATCATCAGAAATTCAGTTTGCTATCACAGGAGCGTTTTTCAGAAACAAAACGATTACAAATGAATAAGCGCAGATGTGTGTCTCCAGGAGTGACAGAACTCCTAAAATCTCAGACTCACTGAACGTTTTCTTCAGATGCATTTAGAACCGAGCCTTCTTGTAGTGAGTGAGGCTTGAATGTAGACCTGTGAAGACCGTGTCAGCTGGCACCTCGTTGGCAGCTTTATTCACCTCGAAGGAATTTCCAGGCGCAGAAATTTCATGTCCAACTCACTGGAAGCTGTTGTCGAGTTTCCACACTGTAAGTCTCAAGGTTTTAATATCTGGCACTCCTGCTTCTTTTTTCTGAGCCAAGGCTGGAGTATCATCTGAGACATTTGAATTTAAGTTAGACATTAAAAAACGTAAGATGCATCGGACAGCCGAGCACAATCTAGTGACTTATTCCAATATGATGAATGGAAACTGTCTCAATACCTAAATTAAAAACTATTCCCAGACCAAGTAAGATGTAGAGCAAAACATATGATAAATGTTTTAGCGTCTATAAAAAATGTACTCTACATTTTTTTGTTTAGGTGTTGATCAAGTCCAGAGGAAGGGTGAACCAGTACAAGATTCTCAAAATGTGAAAAATGCCCTTCATTAAAAATACCACAGTATTATGATGAATGCAAAAAACAAAAAAAAAAACCTTACATTTAGGATAAATTGTTTCATTTAAAACTGAGGAGAAACAATTATTGCTAGTGCAGCTAATATAGTTCAACACTGATTATTGCAGTTTCATTAGTGGTATTTAAAACAGACTTATTCTGATACAGAGTACTAGCTGGATATTTAGACAGGCTGTCTGCTCAGGTAGCTAAGCTGCAATTGGCTGCTTAACAGACAAGCCACTCTGAAATGCAGTGAGTGACTGTCTGCATTTCCTACATGCTCATCCAGGAGGAGTGAATGCTGCAAGTCAATGACTTGATTTATTTCTTTGTTTCCTTTTTACCAATTTGAATCATAAACTGAACTTGACTGCGTTGTTAAATAACCAGGATCCGTTGAAACTGATGCAGATTGGTTTGAATTGACTCTTTTTTTTTTTGGTAAAGTGTTTTGAGATTGTATGTTATGAATTGACATACAATTTATATATAAATTGAGTTAAATTGATTTACTTCTGTTTTTAAAACTGCAATCCCTAAAAAGAGTGACAAGTGGTGCTCCTTTAGTTTTCTTACCGTGACTTTTTTTGTTTTCTTGGCGGCTATTGAGACATACAATCATCTACATTTGTCTTTCTTATAAGCTAGGGGGAAGTGTGGCATTCTTATTTCTTCCAGGTCACTGACAGTATGCAAGGGAAGATGGGGGAGGGGCACCAGTAGCACTCCTGTCGCTCCAGCACTCTTTCTGTCGTCTCATTAAAGGGATTTTTAAGCACCGGAAAGCATTTTGATGCCCGTTTCCAACCCACATGTGGTCCAGACCAGAAGATGTTAACACAATAATAGAAATACAATGTTGACTAGCAAAACAAAAGTGTTTCAAGCTGCATAGGAAGAGAGAAAGGGGTACTTAAGCCCCTAATGATTTAAACCCTTGGAAGAAATGGGTTTAATGTAAGATTTTAACTTAATCCACATGTTTCTCCTGATGATGGCAAGGAGTCCTTCCAGCCTCAAAGACATGGTGACCAAAAATACATAATACCTGCTAATAGTTGGTCAACAAATAAAAAACGGGTTTGGTTGATTCCATTGATTGTTGAGAAGGTCATTACTAAATTACTCAACATTACAAATTAGAGTAGATCAAATATGTTGTTTTTTTTTTATTCCCTTATATCATTTTGCATTCATTAGACAGATTGCATTTCCTGTCAGAAAGAAATTTCTTGGTTGACTGAAAATAATTTTAAATCTAAATCCACCAGGGGTATCAATACTTTTGGGCTAAACTGTGTAGGCTTTAATTATGCTTTTTATAATGTCTAACGGTACAATGAAATAGTTATCCAATCTGAAACCAGTTGCATTGTATAAAAAACCGGCTCTCTTTATGAACTTTATAAACATGCTGGAAGAGATGCTTAGTCTCACGGTGGTTTGGGCTCTTCCAGGTTGGAGAGCGTTTGGCTCGATATGATGTGGAGAAGAAATGTGCGATTGAAAAGGAGAACTATGACCTGGCCAAGACGAAGAAGGAGCTCATGGACGAGTACAGGAAGAGCGTCTACCAACAGCTGGAAGTTCACAACCTGCTGGACATGACAATGGTCAGTCCTAAGCAATTAACCAGCTACACAGTCGAGACCAGTGGATTGCGATGGGACACAGAGTTTTTAGAGTTTCCATAAACGATTCTGTCTCTTTCATGGTGTCATCAGATCACCAAGACCTCAAATTTGACCTCGGCTCATCGTCCTCCACCTCCTCTGCCTTCTCCTGCTGATGGTTCAGCCCCCACCAATCCCCTGTTGTCCACAGATGACATTAAGGATGGGAAGAAACTAAGTGCTCATAATCAGCAAACAGCCACACAGACTGTTGTACCCACACCTACCAGTCAGCCCGACAAGTTTGTCACCCCTGCTTCCCTCCCCACCGTTAACGTAAGTATTTTTCCACATCGAAATTGTTGTTAGCCACATTGTTAATTAGCTTCTAGAAAAAAAAAATCCCGTATGAAACCATTTCCTAAGAGGATCAGTGTTTTCTTTAGAATAATCCAGCGGTGTTTTCTTCTTTACACACACATTCCTGTAAACATACCAAAGCTCAGAAGCACCTTTGGAACATGTCTCCTGACTAAACCTGAGCAGTGCTTGAACCCAGAGCACACGGGGAGATTATGACCAGCAGGGGCCTTTATGCTTTACTCACCACCTACTAAGACCAGACCTGCTCAGGTTTGGGTTTCACTATTTAATTAAAAGCGTGCAACAGTTGGCTGACTCTGGCGGCTGCCAGCCTGGCCTCAAGGCAGTGCTTTGAGACTTTTGTTAAGCCGTAGGCTGCCAGTTGGCCCAGAGGCACAAAATGCAGAACTTTCTGGCTCGAGCTTTGGTTTATATCGAGGGAGGCAAACGGTCATTGTTGTTCGAATGTTGAATGATACCGAGTCTCTCCGGTGTTCAAATGTGAAAGTTGTTGTTTGCAGAGATTACATTTTGACCTTTTAAGCCTTCAGACAGATGGGCTTCTGAGAAATGCATTCGGTTTTAAAATATTTTCATTTTGTAGAAAATGAGGGACAAAAATCAAACGGTGAAATACTTTCAGGCATAACATTTCAGCTGAAATGTTTATGTTTTTGCTTTCTGCTGACAGGTCACCGGCATGCCTTATGATGAGAGGCCCCTGCCGGCACTTCAGCAAAAAGATAGGGCAGTGGAAAGCATCCAGGTGCCATCAGCAGGGAACTCCCCTAAATCTGACATGTTGAGGTCTCCACGTGGTCCTGACCTGAGTGGAGAGCCAGAGCCCCTGACGGAGAAGGCTCTGAGAGAGGCCGGCCTTCCTGTTGAGGCCTTTGGAGAGAGCCTGGTAAGAACGTCATGAGTTCAGCCATGGGCTGATGTAACAGAAATTTCAGTGACCTTTTTAGTTTTAGCTGATGAGAAAAACTTGCTTTGGTGTTTTTAAACCGTCGTCCCCCAGAATGGCACCTCGAAAGAATATTCAGATTTTGAACTTTTCCAACTATTATCACTTTTATCACTTGTGTGATTGACTAACACAAACTTGTGCGTAAGGTAAAGTAGGAAAGCAAGGAAAACATTTTGGCCAGCTGGAAAGTTTTTCAGGATTCCCTTGTATTTAGCTCTGTCCATGTTCCTCTCTGACCAGCTTGTTTGTTACTGCTGAAATACATCCGAACGGCAGCATGCTGCCTTTTCAAAATGGGATATTGACGTTTTTACGGTGACAAAAGCTTAAGAGGTAATAGTTCTTACAAGGCTTCAGCTGGTTTTTGAAATCAGAATTAAGTTTTTACGGTCAAAGTTTGTACATGATGCTGATGCTGACATTAGCCCAATAATGATAAGACCTCTCCTGCCTTCTGGAATCATTCACATGAAGCTCTCATTAAAATGATTTCTGATTATAAAGGATGGGGAGCTGACTTATTAACGAGTACTTTTTTTGACACTTCTGTTTTGGTACTTTTAGGGCTTATGGTCCTAAACATTTGATTAGCTTGATGATCAAGCATACAATCCAGCAACATGATATGTAATTTTTTTTTTCTTTTCTATTTTAAGATTTTGATCCATGGTGTATGTAGTGCATTATAATCGATGTAAGAAAGATCCATAGAAGGTGAAACATGAGAGAAATTTCAAAACATTGGGTGCTATCATTGCTTTGTGTTCTTTCTAGAGTTTCCTTGTTACCCATCAGCTGTATTTTTGAATCATTCCCGTGAAGAAATGCATTTAATTTAAAGTAAAGGGTTCCACTGTATGATGTGGTTGACGAAAAGCATATGTTTTATGGATAAGGTGCAGTGTATCAATGATATTAATGAGAAACATGCTTCCTCAGGTGGCTAGTGCATATTCTAAGACCTGGTGCTACAGAGAAGACGCGCTGCTTACTGTGCACAACAAACTTCTGGAAGTAAGCGCCGCAGCGCCCAAAGAAGAGCTGAGAAACATGATCAGAGCGGCAGTCTTTCTGGTTAAGAAGGCCCTTCTGGATAAAGTTTCATCTGTGAGTCAATTTACTTTAAAGAAGATTGCTTTGATACAAAGTGCAACTCTGTTAAAAGACAGTGGATCATAGAAAAGGCCGTATCTTAACAGGCTGTATATTAATAGGAGGGCTACATTATTTGAATAGATTCCACACAGTCATTTTTGCACAACAAAACAAAGTACTGATTCGTTAATTGGCAAACTAAGTGCCAGTTTACGACTAAATGTATATAAAAATACTGAAACCAAAAACAATAATGTTACTTATTCAACATTAATAATTGTTAGAAATGGGCCTGCTAGTATATTGGCCTTAGCAGCTCTAACCAGGTTCTAAAGTTCCCCAAAAACCCGGTCAGAAGGTGAGCCTGCCAGCAGTGCACACCAAAGGAAAACTGGATTCTGGAGCAGAGACCCCACCTCTGCTGTCTGCCATCTGTCTTTCCCCTCCCTCCTTTTTCTAACTCCGCGTGGCAAAGACGAGAGGCGCCGGATCGGTCATGCTCCACAAGCGGCTGCTGGTGGATTTGTTGGGCAGGACGCAGTATTATAAAGCCTCTATAAGACAGGAGAGGGGGGCAAAAAGATGATACTAGATTACGAGAGATTATAACATAAACGTTATGTCATTAAAGACATTTTTCAGTTCTTTAAGAAGCTCTAAAAAGAACTGTATATTGTTGAAAACATACTTGTGTATTGGTTGAAGTAGCTACTTCTGCCTTTACGCTAGGACTGGACAATAAATCAATAACAATACATATCGCGTCAGACACTTGATCAATATCAATCGATAATTTGTCCAATAATTTCACTGAACTCCGATTCAGAAACGCACAGCATTCTGGGGGATGTAGGCAGAGGACAGGCTTTAGCCACTCAACGTCTCACGGCTTATAAACGTGAGTGGCATCAAATAACTGGCTTGCTCTTTGGTTACCTAGCAACAACCTGATGAGTAACTTGAGCAGCAGCTGATTCAGGTTTCGCCACCATGCCGCATAACTGCTTAAAAAAAAAAAAAAACTGTGGTGTGAAAGGAGAAAATGTGTACAGCAGCTCCAGAGGAAACTGGAAAAAACAGGAAGAGTCACATTGCCAGTTTGGCGGCATTTCAGGTATTTAAGACGGAAAACTAATCAATAATTATTGATATCAACTGATAGGAAACACTTACGTTGTGGTATATTTTTCAGCTATATCATTCAGCCCTACTTTGCACTATAAACAGTGGCGTTCTTGCAAAACAATGCCACTTAGCAGGAATAATGGGGAGTGTAGTTTTTATAGGAAAATATTATAATAGAGACAGAGTTTTAAGAAATGCTGTTTGCATTTCTGGGTTGTTAAACATTTTGTAATTTTTTTTTCCCCAACCCAAGGCAAGTCACTGTAATGCTAATTTTTTTTGCAATAAATTCCATAACTTCTTGGTTTAAGCATCACATTGTTGGGAAAAGGCTTTATGCACATTCATGCCATCAACATACTTTCTGTGCCACATGCAAAACATTTCACACAAGCTGCTTTGTTAAAAGCAGGAAATTTGACGAGCTTGACTTTGTATCCATTCTGTGGAAGCTGATTCCAGTTTTTCATGGTGACGTAAAGGGCGGTGTAAGTATAATTGCACTGATTTATTTCACACTGATCCAGAAAACGCCTTTAAACATCATTGAAAAGTCTTTTTCTTACGCACACTGCTGTCTCTGATGCTGTCCTTGATTCACATTGCTGTCCCTGATACTATTCTGATTCTTTGGTTGGCCATTTCCATATAATATTTCAGTAATTTTTTATTTCTAAATCTGCAGTGTGAATCGACATTAAAAAGCAGAGAAATGTTGAATCTATAGTCATTATTTAAATGCTTAGTTGCCTTTTTTCTTTTCATTTTCCTTCCTTTTAAGCTTTTATTAAATAAATAAATACCAAACACAGCTGTGAAATATTTAACTTATTTCAAGTTAATAATTCTTTAAGACATCTAGTTTTTCTGTGTCGTTACCAGGTGATTTTTAAAAATAGCTCACAAAGTTTTAAGCCTAACCTGTCTAGTTCACGCTTCAGGTTTTTCACGCCTCGCTGAAGCTGCTCCGGTTGATGCTGAGCCAGCTGATCCCAGCTCTGGGCCTCGGCCGGGTTGAGGTGACCCACTGCTTGGAGCAGACCTTACCTAATTTGCTGACGAGGACAGGAGACTCCCCTAACCGTCTACGGGCGGCTGCCATCGCCCTCATACTGGTAACATGACACTCCAAGTGAAGAGTTTGTTTGTGGGTTGGTATTTTGCATCTATGGAGCCTGTTGGTCCATCTGCTCCGTATCTGTATTTTTCAAGCCCAAGTTGTTTTCTGTTTTCATTCATACATACCAAAGTCAAACGTCATATATGTCAATTCCAGACAAATATGGAAATGACAAACACCAGGCATTTCCTTGTGCTTCCAGAACACAAGGAAATGCAAAGGATAACTTGTGTGACTGATGGGCAGACTTTCCGCTTGCAGCTTGCTAACCGTAGTTGGCTAAATCTGTTTGTCCTGGAAGCAAAGGAAAACGGTCCAACCCTTATTTCAGCCAGCATACTGGCAGTGCAGAGCAGCTCGAGAAATCTTTGTTCACGCTCCCATTTTCACTGAGCTCACATCAAAAATATTAAAATGTAGCAATAGCAGGAGATTTCTTTCAGTTGCTCTTCGTAATTTGTTGATTAGAACCTGAGCCTGCTATTGGACTCATTACACCTTTGAGGAAGGGAACTAGTAATCTAATTTTACTGGTTTTTATTCTGTAATTGCCTTCATGGTCATTTATACATTTATATGTTTTTAATTTTGTTGAAATCGGATAATGTGTCCTTGTTCTTTTTTACTCTTGCGTTGCTGGGAAGAGGTGCGCTTTGTGTGCGCGTTCTGGTTTGTTTGAGTCGTGAGTGTTTGGAATGAGTCTGTGCACTTGTTCATGTCAATTTGTGACTCAAAAGAGGCCTGAAGATCTCTAGTTAGAGGAAACTCTGATCTTAATGTTGCTATGTACATGGATAAACAGGCCCAGATTGCTTTCAATGTGGCTGACAAGCTGCTTTCTAAGCCCACTTGATGCTCCTTTTCAGTAGTCCAATATCCCATCTCCTCCAAAGGGAAAGCGAAGAAGCTGGTGGGATGTGGGCAGAACTGCTTTTAGGTGTGCATGGTTGGAATCCCCAAAAACCACAATTAAAGTGTCAGGACAACAGTTTGAAGCTGATTAATAGTACCAAACGGTTCCTTCGGGGCCCGCTGGGTGAAATCTCTGGAAGGAATGTCGACACCATCAGCATAGCTGTGAATTCTTGTGGCTAATGGAAGGACTGGCATTTCACAATAGCTCTATCAACCGAGAGCTGTGACTGCAGCGTGTTACAAATGCCCACCACCTATGTTGTTACTGGAGCTCTCGTCTCTTTTCTTCTACACATAAAGACACCGGCCCATCAAGCCAGATTACAGAGTCACTGACGTTGTTGTGGAGCCAGGTTTCAGTCAAGGCAAAAACTCACAAGCAACATATTTTGTACTGTGTGTTATTACTTTAGCATTATGACTTATTGTCGAAGAATAAATGCTGGCAATGTAAAGCAATACTGTAACTGGCTTGTGAGGTTTCGCTTGAAGCCGCACCCAGATCCCTGCCCTGTTGGAACATTTCTAAATGCTGGTATAATAGTTTCTGTCCGTCCTTCTCCAATAAGCTGGACATTTCCTATGTAATTTACTGTATCCTATTTCCCTCCATAACGAACTACGACTTCTACAGTGAGCAGCTCAAATTTGTCAGTCCTTATAACTTTGTTCCAACAGATAAAGATATTTCCAGTCTACTAACCACAACAATCCCTTTTTAAAAATGTACAGTGAAGCTAAAAAAGGAGCTTTGTTTTTAATGTTAAATTCTTTGAATTAAATATTGATCAGTTGTGTTTTTCTATATATAGACTAAAACAAAAACAAGCAAGCAAAAACTTCTGTGAGTTCATCAGAAAGCTGTATATAGGCCAGGGTGAGACTTCAAAGTGTTTGCAGGTTTGTGCATGGAGAGATGGCATGTTGTGTGCAGTATAGAGTGCCGTGAGAAAGTTCAGTAGTGGTGCCAACTGCCTGTTGTGCAGGATATCAAACATTTCTTCCTAAGCTGGTTAATGAGTCAGGCTCTCTGCTCGGGTAGAGCCAGCAGTCAGCTGCTTAACAGACTTGCCACTCATAGCTCACCAAGTATATCTGCAAAAAAGGTGCAAAATTAATAATCTTTAGTTTCCACGCAATGACTCCTCATATTTTTTTCAGACTGGAAAATGCTACCAAACCGCCCAGATTTTCCTTTCTTGTAACCGAGAACATAGCATGGCGTTTGTCAGTGCCTTTTTTTTTCTGCTGTGACTAGCTCTCTGCTAGCGTGCCATTCCAGTGCCGTGACTTGTCCTCCTGTAGCGAGTCATGCCAATGAACTGGTCAGGAAGAGAGCTTTACGTCAATGTATGAGCCCATTCTTTTATGAGCAAGGGAAAATTTTCAGAATATGCAAAACTTGGACAAGAAAATAATGCTAGCATTCACATTTTTAAGCCAAATGACAAAACATTTGCTTAGCAAAAATGTATTGCTTTCTTCAGATTTCAGTTTGTGTTCATCTAAAGATAAAAAAAAAAAAAGCTTACTGTAAGTATGATTCATTTCTTACCTCAGTGTCTCCATCCTGTGATTCGTCCTAATAAACAGCAAGAGGCAAATAAGGAGGTGTAGTTATGGTCTCTAAACAAGCCTGAGGTTGTTTTCTCCACACTGACTCTTTTAACTATAATTGGGATCAACTGGGACTGTGAGTTCATCAGAAAGCTGGATATAGTTTTCTGTGCCAGGGTGAGACTTAAAAGTGTTTGCAGGTTTGTGCGTGGAGAGATGGCGTGTTGTGTACAGTATAGAGTGCTGTGAGAAAGTATTTTCAGATTTATCCTGTTTTAGATTAATTTGGCGCTGAAATGTTTCAGGTCCTCAAACAAATAGCCTGAGTTAAGAGAAAAGGCTAGCCAAGCCAATATGGCCCTATGCAAAATGGTGATTATCCCACTCGTTAAATCAGGATTTGTAATTGTGATTAAGTGCATTTTGTGGAAAGCAGAGTTCAATTTTGTCAGTTGCACACAGACCTGATTACTGTGAGGCCACTAGAATCAAGAAATTACTTAAACATTTTCTGATGACCCTCTAAATTCTGAGGACTGGCGAGAAAATAAATCTTGTTAAAATTTTCATTACATTTCTAATAATACTAACGCAGCAATTCAGAAAAGGAACATTTTATAGGCAGTAGTAATGTGATGGGCTGAGGCCGCTTTGGTTTTTGACTTGTTTTAATTGGTGATCAATAAATTCTGCTCCAGAAGATGAATGTCACATGGGTCATTTAGAAGGGAAGCAATTTAATGTACACTACCTCTAAGTGGCCAAAAAGAACAGAAAATCCTTGTTTTGGAGGGGCCTAGTTAAAGTTAGGACCTACATTCTATCGGAATGCTATGACTTGATGTTCGACTAGGTATCCATACTGAAAAGCCCTACAGTGTGGTTGACTTACCGTTCATTGAAGAATAGTGGGTTGAAACTCCTCAGTAGTATGAAAAATGTGTAGCCAGTCATCCCAAGTTTTTGATGGCAGATGTTCCTGTCAGGAGGGATAAATGTCATTATTTTGTTTAGGAGCAATTGCCTTTTTTCACACAGAAACAGCTATGTGTAAAACGACAAATAGCCTGAAAAAAGGCACTTAAAGATGACTTAATAAATAGTTATCTTAAGAGATTATCGTTTTCTCTCAATAAATGGGGGGAAAAAATTAAAACAGCATTTTTTGTATTAAGTTAGGTTATTGTTTGTCTGGTAATAAAGTGTGTATGATTATTTGAAATACTGAGGTGTGACAAAAGTACAGAATAAACCTCTAAGGGAAGAAATATGTATTTTTTATGGCACTGAATATTCTTGCCCCATGGGAGCTGTGGCGGTGAACTCATTCAAGGGTGTGAGCGTACGACAGGGAGTGTTTCCTTTAGCTCAGCAGCTCACAGACATTACCAAGCCTGTCTGCATTCTAGGTTGGTTTCTAATGTCTCACTAATAAAACTTTGATTATTTCTTTGCTTGACAAACACAAAATTCACTGTTTTTGTCTTACATTTCAAACGCACGTCGATCTTACTTTAGTCCTCGACAATGAGGGAGTTTTAGCAGAGCCTCCTTCTGCACGCTACACTTGCATTATGTGCCATGACTTGTCGACTTACAGGATGCTTGTGTTGAAAGATAAATTGCTGTGTGACAACAAGCAAGTACTTACCAGGAGCTTGCAGGATACATTTTACCTAATAAAAATCTGTAGGTCTAGGAAGGCATCAACTGACCTCAACAGCGTAAATCTCATTCTTCCTCTGGTCCTTTGTTTAGGAGATTGCTGTCTTGAAGGATGTCCGAGCCCTACAGCTCATCCCCAGTGAATTAGTGAAGCCTTTCAAATCCAACTTCCCCCCTCGTCTGGCTCAGAGTCGGGCCGAACTGCTCCAGAAACTTCTTGTGGAACTGGGCATAGACAACTCTGGCTTCACCCTGGAAAATGTCATCACGGTAAAGAACCAAGATAATAATGATAATAATAATAATAATAATAGAAGTTTGTCTTACGTTGTGTTTTGAGTTTTTTTGTTTTTATGTAATCTTGAATTGTTTGAAGTGTCTAAAGTTCACATTACATTCAGACTTTAAAAAATCTCAATTGGAAATGACTTTTTCCCCCCCTAAGCACAGCCTGGTTTGCTTCCATACTAACAAACATCGGTTGCATGATAGTCTGTGATGATGGCTTCACAGATGGAAAGAAACTGTCCTCCCTTGTTTTTGAACGAACACTGACCGTCATTCACACAGTAAAGCATTGCTCTTACAGCATCTAGTCAGTTCTAGTGTTTGCTTAGCATAGTTTTTTTTTCAGACCTCTTGCTCTGTGAAGCTGGTTCTTAATTTGTCATCAGTCCATTGCAGATCCCAAGGAAAAGACAACATTGGGTTCTTGGAGACCAACAACTAATCAAAAAAATGTGACCATTATGTTTAAATCTCCTGAGGTAGTTTCAATTTTAATCTCCATAGTCTGAAAAAAAACAACAAAAAACAAAACAACAAAGCAATAAATTTCAATATTACTATCAGAAAAACTTGTCCTTTTTTAACTCCAGCTGTATCTTTGAATATCACTGATTGCATTGCAAATGTAGGACAAAGCACCATATGTTGCTGCTCTAAGCCAGACTTCCAGCTGAATAGTAGGACCCATTTGTAACTTCATAAACATTACACTCACCTCTTTGCATTTATAAATCCCATTTGAAATGGTGCATGCAACTCCTGTTTGCAGAAGGTTTTTAAATGCTTATCAGTGCCGGTCTATGTTTCAAGCACAATTACACACAGCAGCTGTTGCTCAGCAACATCTATAGATGATGAGCTGTCATATCATGCAGCAATTTAAGTTTAGGCCAATATATGTCATTTTGTAAAATGTCAACCATCAAAAATAGACTGCAAAGTGAAATCTGGAGGGAACCACTTTTCAGACTTTAGTCATCTGTGAGCAACGCAATCAGGTGAAGGTCTTTGAGAAAGTAGCTTCAAGATTAACAGTTGAACAGGGAATCACAACTCAAGTGTTTATAATCTGAATTGTCTCCAGACTTTGATACTTTATCTCTGAAAACCCAAAAATGTTCCTCTTCTTCTGGTCTAATCTAATCCAGTTTACCACTGGAAAACAATTTTGCAGTTGTTTACAATGTACATAAAATGGATAATCCCTTCAACTATGAATTTTGTAGGACATTTCTATTTTTTTTTTTTCCCTAAAACCTTGCGGGCAGAGCGACTTTTTGTGACTTTTTAAATCACCCAGACTTCCAGTAAACTCCACTCAACTGAGCCTACGTTGGCACAAGTGACACTCTTTACTTCATTGATTTCCAGTAATGAGCTAATTTTTTTATTTTTTTTTTACATGGTTGTTTTAACTCCAGCCCTTTCAGGACAGTCTGAAAAGCTGCGAGCAGATTGTTGGTTTTGTCATCTCAGTTTCAGGCTTGGAACCAAACGCCTTTTTAGAGGGGGGAAGAGGATGTTTGCTTCGAAAACGTTCTCTATCTAGATTGAGCTGTGCTGTATCCCACAGCTTGTCTTCTCCTCTAACACGACTTAGGGTTAGAAATAAGATTTACTTTAAAATGAATCGCTTGGGTTGACGATAAGTTTTTTATTTTGAGATATGACAGGAGAAATGAAGTTTGTTTTTGTTGATTCTCACTGCTTTACAGCAACTACTGTTGTCAACCTTAAGCATTTTAGTTGGTATCAGCCTTAATAATGTAAGGAGTAAAAAAAAACAAAAAAAAACTTAAAGGTTATTGAAGTATTTTTGTTACTGATTCCAGATTAATAGAAAAGAGAAGTACATCTCTTTATATAGAAAAGATAAGTATATCTTTTTAGAATAAGATTTTTTTAAGTCTAAATTTTACAACTCAATCCTGATGAACTGCATACAAAGCACAGTTAACCTATGATCTGTTTAGTCTCTGAAAAGAAACACTTATCTGTGTAAAATATGCTCAATGTACACATAACCATATGTAACAATGTCACATCTCTCTAACAACTCTCTCAGCTGGTGTGACGGGCACTCTGTGCTGCTCTACAGAGGTGTCTCACAGATAGTTCAAACATTTTTTCTTTTTCCTGTTCTGTTACCGTGGCGATTTGCTCTCAGGCAGGGGGCCAGAGTCAAGAAAAGGGAATTTCCTGCAATTAAAAATGAGAACTGGTCAGTGGAGACAGCAGAATAATGGTATGTTGTCTCTGAACCCTTTGAGCAAAGGATGGTTGGCCTTTTGACTCTGTTATCTCAGAGAAGAGAATCACAGCACTGAGGTAATACAGCCAGTGGGAACATGATGACCATTTGGACAGTAGCTCACTACTGAATGAGTGTTTTTTTTTTTTTAGCATCCTGATATTTTAGCAACTTAATCAACTCTGCCTTTGTTACTGAATAAATAACTGATAATGGCAACTTGAATATGTTTGAACCAATTTTGTTAAGTTTTTTTGTGATCTAAGTTGGGATTCGCCTGTGCACCGATTTCTTTTTTTTTTTTTTTTGAATTAGCTCTGTAGTGAATTGTACTTGCAGAATTAAAGTGGTGTGTTGGTCAAATTGCTCACGATTTGACAGCTAAAACTCATGATTGGGACAGCAACAACACAGCAGTTATCTTGGATTTATGTCCTATGAAAAAAAAAAAAAATCCTGTCCCGTTGCTATATTCCTGACCCAGTGAATGTTTCCATCGGCCTCACAGTCGTCCTGCACGTTCAGAAATATTGCCTGTGAGCATATAACACAGGCACTGGACAAACAAGCGCAGAGTGCCATAATTGCGAGTCGTAGAGAGCGTATTTGAATAAGGTTTTTCAATCAAACATAGTTCACCTGTCGAGATTTCAGAACCACAAAGCAAAGCATCCCAAAGTCAACATCCAAGAAGTGAAAAAAGTCTCTAAAGCCTCCTTCTCAGCTCTGAATTTAGCTCTGTTGAGGGTTATTTTTAATCCATATAGTTCAACTTTACATTAAAAGTTTATTTTGAGAATGAAACTGTAAAGCTTATCAGCTAAACTTGATTAAACTAACATCTCTGTTGTCTAGCCTCTGTTTTTGGTGAACTCCACTCCACTTGGAGTGAGTGGGACCTAAACTTATGATTAGGATTTTCACCTGCTTAAAATGACATCATTGATATATTGGCAATTGGTTCTTGTCTGATGTAGGCATGAACTAGTGGGAAAACCTGAGGATATGTTGGCCTCGAGTAAAATAAAATTACTATATTTTATATTTTCTATGGACACAAGAAGTTTAAATTATAAGTTTATTTGCATAGCAAATGTTACAAAATACTTTAGCAAACCAATGTCTGTTTCGTGAAATCTCTGCAAACTATTTTCCTACAACATTTAGGATCTGCGGCACAAGGTTGAGTTTTGAAGGACGGTAACTTTTGTAACTTCTGAAGAGATGAGTCTGTTTGTTTTTTTTGTTTTTTTCCTGTATTGGCTTGACTAAGGAGGTTGGAAGGACATCGGGATTACATGAGGTGGGTTTTATGTGGTCATTCAAACCACTTCTGGCTTGTGATGTTACAGGAGTAAAGACAGACCCGATGTGAGAGCAGAGAAAACAGCGTGATGCTCCATCTCAGGGCTCCAACCTTGTGTGGTATTACACAGGAAACAACAGGGGCAATTTCAGGGTGCCAAAGAACACCCCGGGGCGGTTTTTGTTTGAAGCTATAAAACTGTCAAACTATGCAGTACTGGCATGTTTAATCATGCCTTTAAAATATGTGCTAAGATCTCCAGAGGCAGCTGATGAATTTGCATTTGCAATTTTTGAAACTAAAAGGAGGGAAAACATGGATATCATTTATGGATATTTAGTTTTAGAAAACAACAACAACAAAAATGTCTTATTTACTTGTGTTTTGCTCCCCAGTGTCACATCTCCACATTTCAGTTCCTTTTTTTTTTTTTGGGGGGGGGGACTAAAACTACAAAATGTGTCTATTTATTCCACTCACGTTGATCCAGATTCTCTTGTCATTTGTCAGTTTTGTACAGCTGCTTTGGAGCACAGTGCCAAAGGGGTTCGAGAGCTGGCAGTAAGCATCATCTTATCCCTGTATGAGCAGCACAGAGGAGCGGTTCTCAGCTACCTTCCGCCTAACGATGCTTCCGCACAGAAGAACTTTCTCTACAAAACCCTGTTTGATGGATTCGGGAGGATTGATGGAAAAATTGCGGCACCTCAGGCAAATGTTTTTTTTTATTTTATTTTAACATTTTGATTCATTCTTGGGTGTCTTTACCCTGGTCAACTTATTTGCATCAAACTGACAAAGGCAGTATTCATCGTTGTAAACAGATAGTAGGCCAGCTGGTAGATGGGCAGTGAAACTCTTAGACATGCTAGATGGGAGCATTCTTATACCTTGAACTTGCAGAACGGGTTTTTAGATGAGACTTCATCAAAGAGGCAGGTGAGAATTTCACGGAAGGTAAAGATCATCTGACAGAACTCGCTGTCTTTCTCCCTTTTTTGGTTAACAAATCAGCAAAAGATAAACGCATGCCAGTTTATCATGCATTATAATGTTCTTTGGAAGCTTTGATAACATCACGATAATTTTTAGCAGGAACAATAATCCTGCCTTTATCTTATCTACACTAATATGCATTTGTATTGCAAACTATAAACTGCAAACAGTGATACTACAGGAATGCAGTCTCTTAAGAACCATGGCAGACTAATTTCTTCCGTTTTGCATAGTGACGCTGCTTTTGAGTTTAGTTTCAAGAATCTTTTAAAAGAGCATCGTAAACAAAGACTCAGCAGAACGCAAGATTTGACGTGGGCATCATTTACTCAAATAGGCCAACGATGTGCTGGTTTTCTCTCAGGCTTTGAAAAAAGGTGTCAGACAGCAGCCTGGACAAAAGGAGAAGAAAGAAATTCACTTCCTTCAAAAGCAGCTGGCCGCCCTGAAAGACATCACAGTAGGTGGAGATGTCATCAGTCTGCAGTTACATCAGCTCTCCCAACATTTGATCATTTTTCTGTTTATGACTTCAGTCACTTTGAATGTGGCCACATGCTCTGATATGCTTTTGCTTCCTCTGATGTGTAGGAAAGGGAGAGCGAAAGCACCACAGACCAAACATCCAATCAAGAGCAGGACAAAGTTGACAAACAGACCCCAAAAGGTGCCAAAGCAAATATCTGGATACTGTTTATTTAAAACGACAGAAAAGAATATCATATTCGTCATATACTATTGCTATGGAATATTATTAGTGAGGTATGAACTTTAAAGAAGTGCAAAAACATAGACCTTTTAACATATGTCAATAATTAATGGATGTTTTGTAAGTAGCCATTGTGCATTTTAATGAGCAAACAAGAAATGAAGCCTGCACATTATATCATTCATATTATAACTTGGCCTCTCAACTTAACTTGCAGATTTATATAAACATAATGTACTGTAAATAATGTTCAACCATCACTTTTCTGTTTCTGGTATTTTAGCGTGTATAGCTTGATTTTCAGATTGCCACCAAGTTTTTTGATATCTATTAACAAGCTCCACAGAGTGAGCATTTTAACCAGAGAGCAAATGTATTTTTATTCTGCTGACATCTGTCACTAATAGAAAATTTACACAAGTGCTAGTCAAATGTCACAGCAATGACCTGGTAGCATTACTCTAACCTCATGCTTTGCTGCGCTATGGAAATGCTCACATTAGCATGCTGAATGCTTGAAGTAAATAACACAGAGGAGCGATACAATGTGTAATTTTGACAGTTTTGAAAAGTTCAATTATTTCAGTAACTTAGTTCAAAAGTGAGACATGTTATATACAGACTGATGTTTTCAAGCCTTCATTTCTATCATTTGTGATGAATTTCCTCTTACAACTAATGAAAACATGGCATTTAAATTTAGAATATTATGTCAGCAATAGAAAAAAAAAACATTAATAGAGAAATGCGGACGTGATGAAGAGTATACTTAATGTACGTTTAAAGGTTGTTTTATAATTATATATATATATATATATATAAATATATATATATATTTTTTTTTTTACTATTTTAGTTAAAGAACTCTTTATTCTAAAATAAAACTTGAATCATTGCAGATGTAACACAGCTTTTGTTTTGCATGGATTAATTTACAGGTGTCACAAAAGGGCCCCAGAGCCAGACAGCTGACTGCGTAGACGTACAGGAATCCATCGAGTATCTGGATAAGTAAGTAATGTAAAACCCAGTGCAGGCCTGTAAAAAGCAAATTAGTTAAAACTAATTAAAAAAAACAAATGTTGGCGAGAGATAACGTTTGAAATCCATCCGATTACCTAAAGCTCAGTTCCTTTTGCTGCTTATTTGTTTTATGTAAATTCTCACTTTCATGTCACTCATGTTGCACTACAACATGGTCTGATAGGATCTCTGTCTGTTCTAGCATGTGCATTTTCTGTGGCAAAAAAGATGAATCGTTTACAGAAGATGGATTGGACCTTCACTACTGGAAACAGTGTCTGATGCTGCAGCGCTGCGATGAGTGTAAACAGGTACATTCATGCGTTGGTATTGTCTGACGCCCCATAGATTTGGGGGCTTGTTTTCTCTAACCTTCCTCAAACTAAGCCGCTTGACGATCTGTTTTAGGACTTCTACAAAGAGCCATTGTGCACGTGTGTGTGTGTGTTTCGTTCACAGGTAGTTGAGATAGCCAGTCTTACAGAACACCTGCTGCGGGAATGTGAAAACCGGTCCAAGTTCAGCCTGTGTCCACGCTGCTCAGAGGCCGTGCCCACTGACGACCTCACTGGTCACGTTCAGGGCTCAACCTGTAACCGTAAGTTGTTTTTAGTATTTCACCTGGATGGGAAGTCAAAATAATGTTTTTGGGAATGTAAATTATTATTATTATTGTAATATGTTGTTTATTCTGTCTTTTTTTAATTTATTTTTATTTATTTTTTTTACTTTTGTTAAAATATATAGGTAAAATGACTTTAGGAGAGATCGAGGCATTCCTCAAAGACCTTAAGGATGGGGTTATGAATGTTTTATCCATCACAATCTCGGGGACTTTTAGCATGTTAAACATTTATCACAAGTGCAATAATGCACTTCTATACAACAAATGTTGTATAATTGATAATGTTCTATAATCTTAATATCGCTCACACAGATACTGTGATGGCCATGTATTCACTGTAAAAAAAAACCATATCAGACGTCATCCCTGAAATCTGCTTGAGCTGTGCTACGAATTTGGATTTCCCCGTCTTAAATTCTTTAATAAACACTGATTCAACCATAGCCATAACTTTCCACCATTTTCCCTTTCACACATCAACACTACTTAATCTTTGTTTATTTTTCTTAATGCTGATCTCACTTGGCATTGCACAAATCCCTTAATCTGGTTTGTCCGCTACTTGGTTTGCTATCATCGCTTTGTTACTCCAGTTCCCAGAGCATGAAGGTCACTCTTCACTTCCTTTCCAAATATTTTTGATTTTAACTTCAGGCCAATCTGACCATATCGTGTACCGATGGTGTAAAAGAGGATCCCAACTCTCGCTGATGGCGATGTGTGCACAGAATTCATGTATCGATGGCTCTTTCAGACACGCCACTCTGCTTGGAATGACTTGGCTGTAGCGAAGTCATTTTATGCACTTTTTAAATTTGTCCTGAGGATAATTATGTATTAGCAGCTACAGCTTTGCTGCAGAATAGTTCTTCTAGTTATTGTCAGGTGAAATTATGTTTCAAAAGCCAATGTATGTTTATTACATACTGTCTGTAGGAGCTATTTTCCCATTTTTTGGTTAAATCTTAGAATTTAAATTGTTTAGTTTATTCTTATTTGTTTGTTTTTTCCAGTTGATTTATCATTAGAATTTTTGTTTTGTTTATAATTTCTTTGATTAGGAATTCACATAATTAGTTAATTAATTTCAGGTTGGGATGTGGGTATTTCACGGTATAAATAGGTGGGTCTTAGGTAGCTTATTATGCACGTGGGTGGTCATAAGGTTTTTTACCAGCCAATCAGTCACATCGGGTTTTTGTTAGTCAGAGAACAGGTACAGGAATAGCAGCAGAAGCCTGTAACCCTTTTGCCTGAACTACAAATAAACCCAAAGAACTATATTTTGACTTTGATTCCCTTTTTTGCTGCGTAAACCAGAATCCATGGTGCATCAGGTGACTATTTGAGTTGGATTTACTTTTGTTTTGATCACTTTCGAGTTTTTGGTTTTTTTAATTTAAGTTTGGGGACAAATGGTCACTACACTGTCAACTTCAATGTGTTGCATAAATAACTAATGATGCTTGTTTGCTTTTAAGCTGAAGTCTGTCTGCTTTCTTTTTTCAGCACAAACTGGTTAAATTTGTGTTCAGAGTTGGGTTCGACTGTATTCCCAGGCTTAAGAAAACGTCATTCAGTGGGTATTTTTCTTTTAAATTGTGGGCCATTAAACTTAAACATATTATGTTTTCTTTGTTCTCGCAATTGTTTCAGGTACAGTCTCCGCCTCCAACCACTGTCCTTTGTGTCACAACAACTTTCCACCTGGAGAGGAGGTGAGATTTTTTTTTTTTTTTTTTAAACAATTTAGTTATTTACCAGTGAACAACAATGGCTTGAGCGTTAATAAAATGGAATGGTTGTGTCAAATGGTAAGATGTTTTTGTTTTTTCCTTCGCATCAAAAAAGTGTGTGAGAAAAACTAGATACACTACTTGGCATATAATAGTAGGCTTTAGGCAGCAACAGATGTTCAGGGTAACCACTGCTATTATCACACCTTTGTTACTAGAGGTGTTTTGCAATTCTCTCCTGGTAAAGAAAATACCATCACACACTTTATATTTCCATTGCTTTTAAGAATCAACTTATGACATGTGTGGTCTCTGCTGTTTACGACCTAATTTCCTCATGATACTTTTGTAAAGTGAAATAGGTTTGACTGCGTGTCATCTGGCCATTTAGATAAAATTATTAAAACTTATGCCTTATTGTGCTTAAGGCTGCAGTTTTAAGAGACACTCACCAACACTAATAGCAGCAAGGTGAAGTGTCAGAAAAATGTCAGATTTTGGACTTTCTTGAATCCAATTTTGAAGTGCTTGTATAAATCTCCACAGTTTGTCGGGTTGTTGCTGTTTACACTTTTATGCTTTACAGGCTGTGGTGTATTGAGTTAAAAAAGGCCCTTTGGTTCACACAGTAGTGGAAGTGATGTTTTGTTTTTGCACCTTTGGATACATTTCTGTGGAAATGTGGAACATGTTTGGGCCTTCATTTTTAATCATTGTGATCGTCATGCTTCACTGCGTCTGGCATTTTATGGTAAGTTTGAATTACAAGATGGACTTCTGAAGTTGTATATGCAACAGCGCAACCAGGTTAGGAATAACCTGCAGTGCATCAATGTAAAATATAGAGTATTTCTAAGATGCTGAATAAAGTTAGATTAAATTTGTCGCAAACAAATTTAAGATGAGCCGTTTTTTTTTTTTTTTTTTTTTTTTTTTTTTAGCTCAAAAAAAAAATACAAAAAGGTAAAATAGAGAGAAAAGTAGAGCTGAAAATTCCTTTTAATAGCTCACCTCACACAACCTAAAAAGGGGTGCAGAGCTTCACAGATTCTCTTTGCCTTGTCTGCGAGTGTGAACCCAATGAAAGAGGGGCACTGTTGGTAAGAGAGAGGGCAACCAGTCAGACTTTGACTGGGCCTACAGTCACCTGCGGTGGTCCGGGTCAAGAGGGTTCCTGGTGAGGGAATAAACTCACTGTGCCATTTTTGTCCCCGCTCCAGGCCTGGAAGACTCACCTCATGGGCAGAGAGGGCTGTAAGCAAAACTCACGCAGGACTGCGGTGTCCCAAAGAACCCAGCCAGCACAAGGTGAGGCATTCATCTGCCTCCTGCCTGCATGGTGTTTGGTGCGAGAGGTATAGAGTTCACACTTGTCGGTAAAAGTTTAACAGTGCACCAAATACCATTTCCTCCCTCAACATTGAGAATTAACACGATAGCAAGATTAGCTAGTTATCCTTTCTGTTCAATGTCTTGTAGGAATTCTTCGTTTTGTTGTTTTCATTGGCTCTGTGATTTATTTATTTATTTTTTCTTTTGGGGGGTCGGGATGGGGGGTTTGTTGGTACTTTTTCAACAAGTCTGATGCAGACAGACCATTAGTGTTTCCCACTAGAAAACCAAGAGATGCATGATTCGGATTGCAACTGGGGCTGTATAAAACCAGTACTTCATAAGTTTTGTCTGTTTTGTCTTCTGTTATAACCCTACTGTTTTCATTGTTCAAGCTGCTCTAAAAAATGTTTATTTACAGATAATTTAATCCATTTCCATATGAAAAATGCATGTTGCAATGAGTGCTACTATACCTCTTGCCAACACTAATAACAGCACTGTGACATAATGAAATGTCACAGAAACATGTCAGATTTTGGACTTTGTTGATCTCAGTTAAAAATCTCCACACTTTTTCTTTTCAGGTGCTGCTCTTTACACTCGTCCTTATGGTCTGTGGTGTATTGAGTTAAAAAAAGGCCTGAAACCTTCTCATGTACATGAAGCCTTGTTGTTGTGGTTCACAGAGTATTTACTTTTTCTCTTCACATTACTGTCTTTTATAGAGATTCTGCGTGAAAAACCAATAAAGTGGTACATAATTGAAGTAAAGACAAATTGTTACATGGTTTAACTTTTTTTTACTCGAGAACAAGCGGACATTGTGCGTTTGAAATGTTCCGCTTACACTGTGGAACTTCGTTTCGCTCTGAAACGGATCCCTCTTTAATGTCAGCTTTGCACATCAGAGGCCAGAATTTCCATCCATTCGGATTGAGCTTCAGAATGATCTTCTCTTCAACTCTGACCAGCTTCCTTGACCCTGAGGAAGAAAAGCATCCTCTCACAGCATGATGCCGCCACCACTATGTTTTGCTGTTGAGATGGTGTGTTTTGCATGCAGGCCACTTTCTTAAGCATGTTTATTCTGTTCTTTATGTAGTTTTCACAGCTTAACTGGACTTCTGTTGACTTCTCAACAATGGCTTTCTTCTTTCCATTCTTACACAAAGGCATGACTAACAGCTGTCCTGTGAACATGTTCTGCCACCTGAGTTTTCCGGGACTCTTCTCTGCTTCTCTTATGGCAGTGCATCTCAATTCCAGTCCTCAGGCCCCCCCTCCTCTGCATGTTTTAGATGTGCCTCTATTCCAGAACAGCTAATTCAGATGACTGCATTTTCTCTTCTGCAGCCATCAAGTACTGCAGAAGCCTGTTAATCACCCACAGATTCAATCCGGGTGTGTGGCAGAAGGGAAATACCTAAAACATGCAGGGCAGGGAGGCCTGAGGACTTTAATTGAGAAGCACTGTCTTATGACAACTGCTATTTGGAGCTTTAGGGGGAAAATGGCAACGCAACACTGAGTTTGTTCTGACAATGAGGTGCAGACGTTTTTGTGCTTGTTGTGTATACAAATCTTCTCATGTTATGTTTTGTACTCTGGGGCCACGACCTCACCCACATAGGTATTCAATTGTAATGGAAAACAGTCCGAAACGCAGAGTTGAGCCGAACTGTGTAGGTCAGGGGTGTCATACTCCACTCCTCAAAGGCCACTGTCCTGCCGTTTTTAGATGTGCCGCAGGTAGAAAACGTTGGAGTCAAATGGCTTAATTGCCTCCTTCTTGTGTAGACTCCTGTTAATGACCTAATTATTCTGTTTGGGTGTGGTGCAGCAGAGGCGCATCTAAACGTTGCAGGACAGCGGCCCTGGAGGACTGGAGTTTGACACCTCTGGTGTAGGTACTAGTGGAAAAACGCATAATTGCCTCTGTGGTGTTTTCTTTGGTCGTCATGGTGTTATAGGTTTACCAAGATTTTGCTAAGAAACCTTTGAATGCTTCACAGAACAATAGCATTTCTGTTAAAATTACAACAGCACGTTAGCAGGCACAAATCTGGTGACACTGTCATTTAGTTGCAATTGAGTTTATTTAATTGAAAACGATGTATCCATTTTCCGTCCCTACCAAATTACACTCCACTAAGTGTTGACCTATCAAATAAAATCTAATAAATGCGTTACTATCCGTGGCTGTAACCCAACAAAGGGTAATTGAGTCATGCCATCATGACCTATTCATGGACGCTTCCTGTTTATAGACGCGTCATCAGGCATGCAGGCTGCGTTCTTTGGAGTCGGCGTTGGTGAATTTCTCTTTTTACTGTAAATTTAAGGATGACATTTGTGGGTGTGTTCATTTTTCCAGGTAGGGCTCCTGGGGGAACAAAGCAGTCGTTGTCGGTCAGAGCCGGAGCCAGAACCAGAACCGGGCCCGTGGGCAGAGGCAGCCGGATCCCATTCCTGACACCCATGGCGAGGAGAAACGCTGCAGGAAAGCGCTGAAGCTGGTCGGTCACAAACTCCATCGTCCAAAGATGGTACATAATCAGAAGAAGCAACTCCCTCCCTGCCCTCTCATTTGGGAGTTATTGACAAAGGGCGTGCACTCAAGTAGGCGGAAACAAAACTGCAATTCATCATTAAGGTGATCTAGTTCAGCCCGTTGGGTTTGAAACAAAAGCTTATTTTGTGTAAGAATATCAGCTGACTCACCGTCCTGTGCGCAGGTTAAACCTCTACCAGTAAACACCTGTGAGGCCAGTAAATGTGAGCGCATACACTGTGCGCTTGTAAAGTGATACGCCCCTTCAAGGCTTCTCGTCTCTTGCAGTCTTATTTCTGTCAATGCTGTTTAAAGCCTTTTATATGTTGCTTAAAGTGAAATCTTACCATTCCTTACTGTGGAACTATCAGTAATTTTAATCGTAAAGATTATATTGGAAAAATGAAGCCATGTTGAGGGTATGCTGATGTATATTCCCAGCTGCTGGTTAAAATTCAAAAGCTATGTGATGCAGCATTTCCAGTTATGCAGCCAGCTGCATCTTTTCAGTCCAACTTCTCTGCTCAGTCACTGCCCACGTTTTGCACAATGCAGGCACTCTGCTGGAAGCAAAGTTTCACCAAGCTGACACAACACTGAATACATCAGTCTGACATCACCAGGGACATGTCACGTCTGCTTACTGAAATGCTCTGTGCGGAAACGTCTAGATGCCCGTTACGGCAGAACGAGCCGTTCATTTCTCTCTCTCCTTTATTTAAAAAAATTGAACTGCATTATGGAGCAAATTTGTTTTGATGCTGTGTATCGCATCAAGATAAAACCATAAATTTACTCTTTTTTTTTTCTTTTTCTCACTACTCATCAGCAAGCCAGATAAAAACTCTTTTCTGTTTTAGGTCAATAAAATTACTTGACCTAAAACAAATAATCTTGTTTTAGGTTAAAACCTAAAAAACTTAGGTCAAGATTTTGACCTAATCTTGTTTTTTTTGTCTGGTTACATAGCAGAAAAATGAGAGGATTCTTTTTTTTTTCTATTATTTTCTTCATATTTAAAAGCTTACATACGTGGAGATTGTCATGCCTTTAAGCAATTTTGGAAAGCCCAGGTGACAATAATGCCATGTTTGCTTCTAGTTGAAGGCACAGCAGTGTATGTATTTTGACAAAACAATATAAATGTTGCTACTTTCCTTGGGTGACATCATGGAAACAATCTAAAGGAACCAGCCAAGATATCAGGATTGTGGATCAAAATCCAGATGTCTGAAAGCGTCACATTCATCTGTTGTAAGCATTATTCAGAAGTATAAGCAACAAGGGAAGGTCCAATCACCATACAGATTTAGAAGGACATGGCTCCCATGTGCCCAGATATTAACGTGTTTTGGTAAACATGCGTATCGACAATCACACCCAAAGCAAAAGACCTTTGCGGAGATGCTTGCTGAACCTGCTGAGAGATTCTTTGTCCAGAGAGAAATGACACCCGTACCAACATGGGCCGAAAGGTCACATACAAAGCAGATTAATTTCCTCCAAAATCACCATAAACAACCAGATTACAGTTTGAAAATGGACTCCGAGAAAATAACGTTAGTCTCTGGAAACATCGTTGCTGCTCAGATCAAAATGCAGTTGAAGCTTTTGGCTGTAGTGGAGATTCTAGGAAAAAAAGGGGGAAGCTCACGTTTCTGAGAACACTGTCCCAAATGTGAAGCACTTCACCAAATAAATGGCATCATGAGAAATATAGAAGCGGTATTTTATTCGATCAACCAGGAAGTTCACGACTTTCCACAAAAGGGCCAACTGTTACAACTGTGGGGGAGAGTTGAAAAGGTGTGTGTGTGTGCGCGTATGTGTGTGTGAGCAAAGCGACCTGCAAACCTTTAAACCAGCTCCAACACAAGAATATGTGAAATCTCCAGAGCCTTGTTGGAAGGAGACAAAATATTTCAACTAAGTCATGGAAACTAGAAGGGAATTTTCAAAAGACTAAAGAAATTAATGTAAATGTCAGATTTTAAGAAAAGTAAAAAAAAATATTATTTAAAAGTTCAATTAGCAACAACATTAATTGAACCAGCATGTCTGAAGCTTACAGAGCCACTGCATCCTAGTCTGAGCTTTTGAAAATTGTTCCACAGGTTTATTTATCTTGACTTTTGAATTTAAAGGAAACAAAGATCTCTCATTTAGCAAGGTTAAATGTATTTAACTAATACAAATAGTATTGCAAATTTTGACTGAAACTCAAGTCTGATTAAATGTCAGACAGTGAGGGGGGGAAAAAAAAGTATTGTTTTCATGCTGCCTATGTAAATGCCTATGTTTGAACTTCCGCTGAATGCTATCGTCTGCACAAATCTAAACCTGTTTGTAAGTGTGTTAAAACAAGCAGAAGTAACAAGCTGCTGGCTGAAGTCTCTGTGGCAACAGCGCTGGCGGTCCTTTCTTCCTAAAGCCATTGCAGATCTGCCCAAGCTTTACTGCGGCCATCAGTGAGCCGTCTGCCCTCACATTCCCTGACATTGTCTTTCTTGCACTGTACACAGGGAATGAAGTAACGCCTTGCCAAAGGAATTTTGTTACCAGTTATTTTCCTGAAATTTCCAAATGACAATCTTGCAAATGAATGTTCCGAACTAAATCTTAGCTGTAGAGAATATTAAATTTAAAAATAATGAAACAAAGGGAGATTATTGCACCATGTAGAGTCGCACTACAAAGGTTAACAAGAGTATTTATTTAGTTATTATTTTAACGTGCAAATGTCTTGACAGCACCAACTGAAACGCGTCAGAAAAAATGTCGAAGTGGTTGGAAACTTGATGTAATCTTGAGCTCTGGCTTTTCTCACTTCATGAAGCTGTTCATACAGTGTCAAAGATGGTTAACGACAGAGCTGCCACTGATCAGCAGCTGTTTTATAAGATGCAGCATATTTAGTTTCTAACACTGCATGCTTTTGTGTGGACTTTAATATGCTGTGACTTTATAACGGTTTTTTATGGCGCTTTCTGTGCACTGTACTCAGTAATTCTTATGACATGTTTGCATAATAGCTATTTTTCTATGGAAATGTGTTTGTGTGTATGAAATAAAGCTGAATCACAATGACTTTTGTAAATAAAGTTGAAACAACCACATTTCTCTGAGAATGTTCCAGCCAAAAATGGTTGATGGCCGGTCATTGGCTGCGCCGAAATAAAGGTGAAAACAACCTTACTGTCTGTAGAGCGCCAGAATCTAATGAGTTTTGTCAAATTACAGTTGGGAGGCTCTCCAGACGTCGCTGTTAATCAAATGATGACACCAGACATGCTACATTTTACAAAGTGACTTCGGGATTCCCGATTTTATTTTCACAGAGAACAAGAGCTATTAACATTAGTTCCTGTTTCTTTGGTTTTGGGACCTACTTTCTCTTAATCAAAAACAAAGGAGATACATCATACATAAAACTTATTGACTGACTTTCACATATATATATATATATATATATTTTTTTACAATACATTGTAAAATAATCAGATAACTACTGTTCTTTACTCTAAACCTATAAAGTTCCCTTTGCAGCTAAAATTAGGCATGAGCAAGGCAGCGGTATGATTTTCAACAGTTATGGACCGTAGATGTTTGACATATACTAACATTTTTAATCACAGTGTCCTGATGGTGTAATTTCTTTAAATAAGAGTGTTCTCCAGCTGAATGGAGTGCAGACTAACAAAGCAGTGCCCTTCCCACACTTGTTGCTGCGACAGATGTTGCTGCAACACCTGTGTTGTTGCAGCAACAAAGGTGTTAGCTGAAAGGTGTTAGCTGTCAGTTAGCTGAAAGAAACTTGTAAAGGAAAAAAAAGATATATATGGTGTTTTTTATTTGCCACATCAGTGTTTCAATTTAGGTTTATTTTTTGTGTCGGTATGATTCTATAGTAGTTTTACTCAAGGCCGTCTTATCATTGGAATCTAGTCCCAGCCCATGCCTATAAAATCCTGAAATTGGAGAATAAAATCTCAGGAAATACCTGAACAGAGGAGTGATGGAAAGAGTCACGTTTTAACCTGCAAATTTAAAACGCTATTCTCCCAAAGTCCATGATAAAGTGTTGTCTCTCACATTAGGACTTCAGGATTGTAAATGGCACAAACTGAATTTGAAAATGTTCACGTCTTATTAGTTGGAGCTATAGTGGTTTTACAAGTTACAAATCAACCAAAAGAGGTCCACTTAGGGTCCACGGTGTTCAGCCAGGTTGCAGACAGTTTTATCTGACACGCAGAGAACACCGACTGCGTTTCTCTCCACCGAATCCGCTGAAGATCGAATACAGTCGGAATAATAACGAAAACCTCCGGACGATTTAATGAATGTATTGATCAAGTTTATTTCATGCTGGGGGGGTCCTTCATATAAAGCTCCGTTGCGCGCAAACCAGATCCTTGTTGTGCACTGCGCTCCACATCCTGAGCAGCTCCTGCGCGCTCAGTTTGTGCACCACGATGAGGCTCTTGTAAAAGCACGGCTCCCTGTTCATGGAGCTCACCTTTTGTCTGGTGATGCCGAAGGTCCTGAAGCCTGAGTGCAACTCCGGAGACACGTTCAGCCTCTTCAGACACATCCCTAAAAACACGTCGTCGATGGGATACAGCTCCACGTCCTCCGACGCCGTGAAGAGCCTCCTGGCCAGCTGGGAGGACATCACGAATCCGCCACCCCCTACGTAGGGCGGGTACGGCTGGTCGTAGAGCTCTTTGGGTATGTAGTATTTGCTCTGGCGGTTCCGGATGGGGATCGCCTTGGAGATTGTGTCCCCCACAAACAAGTCGGAGTCTTTGCGCTCCTCCACTTTGAAGCCGATGAACTCCAGCAGGTTGTGCGTGTTCACAAAGACGTCGTCGTCTCCTTTGAATATGAACTGCACCCTGGGACAGTAGATGTTGAACCATTTGAGGAAATTCACCTCCTTTAAGGTCAGGTTGAAGAAGGTGTCCATAAAGTCCCACTGCAGGATGTCTTTGTAGATCCGATCCTCGTACTCGATCAGTTTCTGGAGGTTCTTTGTGTCTTTACCCGTTGTCGGGGTTCCGAGTAGAAATAAAGTTTTGATCTTCTTTCCGTTAATTGTGCGCTCCTTGCCCCAGGTTTTACGCACAGCTTCCCGCCGGTCGTGCTGCTCGATAACGGACTTGATCACCATGATGAGGTGCACCTGTCCGTCCGCGCATTTCTCCGGGTGGTTGATGAGCATGGGGAAGTACCTACAGTGTCTGTGCAGAACAAACTGGTGAAACCTCGGGTCCAGACGCCGGAACCAACCCTGACTCTTCACCAATTCGTCCTCGCTGCAGTTCAGAACTTGTACTTCCCAGCTGGTCGGGGTCCCGTTGGACACCCGCTGCGAGTCCACTCTCTTGCTTTGCGCCGCGGCATTTAGTCTCCAGAATTTGGACTGTACCGGTGCCTGTATTGAAGGAAAACAGTCCGAACCGCACCAGTCCGCTTTCTGTGCGCCTTTCAAGCCCTCTGCGTCTTTTTCCGACAGTTTCAGCTTGAGAATCATCAGAGCAGACGCGAAAACCAAGGAGAGACTCAACAAGGACTTCACCAAACCTGCCCGCTTTCTCCGAAAGAAGTGATCCATATCTGTCACCGTGGCGCCACGGGACCCTCAGATGCTGCGGGTTTGGTCTTCATACTGTTTCACAGCCGTGTGTCCTCGTGGAAGCATCCACCGCCTTCCATCCTCACGCGCACTTGCGGCAGAGTGAAGTCGTCCCTCTGTGAGCCACTTCAGCTCACGTGGACGATTGTCACACATCACTGTTTATTGTGGCTGGGGGGGGGAAAAAGAGACGCATGGCTCGCAGTCGCTCTCGTGTCGCTTTAAGTCTCCTCGCAGACTGGAGACCTGTTGCAGGACCGTCTCACCCAAATATCCCCCACCCCTCGGGGATCTGCCCTGAAGCAGGGCAGAGCTCTTAATCGTCATCAGGTGCCTGATGCATCATATTTGTGCGTATAGAGGATTTATTTTCTAATGATCAGTAACGAGAAACTGTTAAATCAAATTGTAAAAGACATGCACAGCATCCTAAATATACTGTAGCTTACACTTCTGATCATCAGTGAAGTGATGATGTGCTTTAAAGAATATATTTATGCATTCTGATCAGTTCGGGTTCCGGAAGTTGAGATTCTGCATAAATACAGACTGGATCACCTCGCAGCAGTCTGTGTGATCAAGTTGAGATTATTGATCTATAGATCTCTTTGATCTGCTACAGGGCTGACATTTTTTTCTCTCCTCCAGCTGAACGCCTGGAGTCATTGTCGCGCAATGCAATTAATCCGCGACTAATCGGATGACCTCCTGACTGCACAGAGGGATAAGAATCCATTCCTTTCAGGTTCTGTGAATAGTAAAGGGTGTACATTTCTTTAAGGGACTAAACGAAACTGATTTTTTTAGAATTGTTTAAGTATTTTACTGGAAAAAAGTAAAAGACACGAGATCAACAGGTTAATAGTATTTTTAGCTTGTAAATAGTATGAAGCGTTTTGCGGTCCCCTGGACTAATTGATAAAGCGCTATACAAGCGCATGCCACTTACCATTCATTATAAGGGTTATTTTCCTTCTTTCTTGCAAATAGTTTTTCTTTGTTTTGCTGTAGTTTTTAAACTGTAAAATTAAACTATGTGTCGTCTGTTTTTTTAAAATGTGCTTTCAATGCACCATTTGTCTTTTTTTTTAGGTTTGTTATTGAGAGAAGTATTTGTGAGATTTTGTGGCGCGGTGATTGGTGCTTTATATTTCTAGTGTTTAAAATGTTGTATTGTCTGGTGCTTTTAAATGACTATTTGAAAATAGATGCTGTAAACTAAGTTGGGATTTTTAATTGTGTTTTTATGATTGCCTCGTTTCGGGAAATGGTTTCTTGAACATATATCTTCCCTTCAGTGAAATACACGTCATCATCTTTTTTTCTAAAACTAATTTTGTCTCCTACGTGAATTTGATAATTCCAAGTGAACCAACCAAATATTACCTTTTATGAACCGTAATCTTACATAAAGTACCTACATGCAATAACTGTGGCAGAATCGTCTGCAACCAAACAGAAACAAGTTGTAAAATGATTATCCTCTTGCCCCCTCTTATGGATAAATGTGTGAACTACATTGATCATGAGGTGTGACATTTTTTTTTTTACCTCAACTTCCTATGCAAACCACACAGTGAATTTTCTCACACATTTAGACCAAAGATTAAAAAAAAAATTACCTCCACATTAAGATTTCATTGCAACACATTATAATAACATAAATAGTTAGGCATAGTTATGTAGTCAGTTGCAACTTGCAGATGTTTAGTTTAAAGCGAGGATCGTCGAGATTACTTTTAAATAAGATGATACAATCTCTTTGACTCAAAGTTTAAAACCAAAACGTTGTAGGTTATGATTTTTTCTCTTTTTTTAACAGGAAGACTTTGGAATCAGTTAATGCGCAGTTAAAATGCGTGTTTAGGTTATACTGTTGAGGAAAAAACCCTCCCTAACAGGGATAAATGTCCGTTCAGTATTTACAACCCAATGTAATATTTTTGTGTAGAAAGAGACTGACCCCTCACAGTAAATTATTTGATCAATAACGTTCAAACCCATATTTACATTACTTTCGTCCGCTACGTCCGCAGACATGTAGGCTGCGTTCCAACATTTTAACTGTAGCTCTTCCTCTTATTAGGATGTGATGTAACTAGGAACACACTTATTACTTTAGGCTGAATAAAGGATCTGAATGAAGATTAAGTTCAAATTTTCTTGATACTTCTTGCAGCTACCCGACTCCGTAAAGAAGAAAGTCGCTAACCCTTCGTAGTGCACTACCTAGTGAACGAGTGAAGATATTTTGAACGCAGCCCAGGGAGTACTCTGCAGTGCCAGTACAGGGACGCGATGGCCTCAGCTTGAACCTGACAGCAGGAAATACACGGAGAAGGCGGCGGTTCAGACTCAGACAGACAAGCAGAATACAACGACGGCGGCACTGCTCGTAAAATTTTCACTGCCTAATAGTTGCTTATAGCTGTCATTTTAGTCACAAAGCTAACAAAGAGCTAGATATTTGGAACCGAAATAGCACCGGCGGCGAGCGATGCACAAGGTAAGAGAGAGTGTAGCTAATCGAGTAAACCAGTAACGTCGTGTTATGTAATTAAAGTATTTTAGCTTTCAACCTTGGGGTGTAAAAGCATAAAACTGTTTTTCGACGTGTAGTTTTTAACACACACCGACACTTTGGGGTCATAAGCCGTTATTCCCCTTGTTGTAACACCGGGTAATCTTGGCGAAGGCTAAGTTAGCAATGTTTCTGGACAAAGGTGTCGAGATGGAGAAAATGTTCGGTATTTGCTGGAGGACTGGAGCTGTGATTGTTTTGTAATTTGAGACTTTCTTTGAAATTTCTCGTCAAAAAGGGCTGGGTGGGTGTCGTTGGGGCTCAGGATGAATTGCAGTAGTTTCTTTATGATACATATTGTACAGAAAATATTCTACAGTTAAATCAGTTACAGTTACAGTTACCCCTAGCTCTACTCCTGTCTCTTGTTAATTAAGTAAGATGGTGGTGAAAATATCAGTGAAATGGGACACTATGAAGAAACTAATGTTGTTTCACATTAAGCTAGTATAATAGTTTTCTTGAGTAAACATTTTGGACTTTTTTTTTTTTTAGTTTAAGAAAGAACATAAATACTTTATACTTTACATATATACTTTTCTATGTTTAGACCAAGAGTCTGCATTCTTTATAATCCAAAGAGCTATTTTGTCCATAACCCCGCTAAATGAACCTCATTTACAGCTGCAAATGTTACATGACCTTTGGAAAAAATGATGACTTCTAATTTTTGATAATTATCTACAAGGAAATGAGTTGTCCTTTCTAAAGATGAGTCTGTTTATTTCTGTTTTTTTTTTTTTTTTGGTTTTAAAATGAGGAAAAACAAAACTTTTTGTAAAAATGAGAAGGAATATCTTCTCTATGGGATGATACATATCTGTGGAATATATTTGGGATCACAATGTTCTACTTTTTTGTGAGCTAGAAGATTAAAAAAGTTGGGAACTTCTGCTATAAATTTACCGGCAGATTGAAAGCGTTTAAGCCAAAACCTTCAGCCTCACCAAGAGTTATGAAACTGAAGTGTGCGTTGCTCTTCACTTAACGAAGCATCTTAAAAGACTCGTCAGTGAAGTTTTACTTTGTTTTGTTTCTATTGAGAGGTTTGCTGGTCGTACATGACGCTTCAGAGATTTTGTCTCCCAGGTATACATCTAAAAAATAAGTGACGTTTTGAACAATTGGAGCTTTTGAAGCTTAGTGGTAGCTGCTGTAGTGCTGCTCAGTAGTCTCACATTCAGTTTTTTTTTTTATCTCAAAAATCTAAACGCACTCGAAGAGAAATCTTAAGGCCTGGATTCAAGTCTCGTTCTCCGTGTTAATTTTTTGCTTGCTGGCCGAGGTGACATGTAACTAATTGTGCAGATATACATAAACCACTATTCATCACCTTCTAATCTAATTTCAAAAGCAGTGCTTAATCCTAACCCGAGACGTCAACAGCACAACTCATTTTTGTCCTGACTTTAACCCAGCCTGTAAAATCCATAAAGTGGTCAGTTCGTTATGCCGAACAAGCGGTTTTATATGGTTTACGGTGAGCCTTTGAAAATTAGAGAAACATATTGCTTAAGATCAATTTACAGGCCGAGTCAGACCTCCAATAATCTGAAGGTAATCTGAGTTGCCAGCGAGGCTTTGTGAAAACATTTAGCTAAATAGCTGGAGCTCCCTGGGACCTGCTAGGGTGACAGCAGCTGCATCAGCTGACTGACTGAAGCCAAATCATTTAACTAAGTAGTTGCTATAATGATATGTGGTTACTGAGGAATAAGCAGCCTGTGTTTTGGTTTTGTATATGCATTTCTTTTTCCAGATGCCTAGTCAACTTGATAACATGACGTCTAGAAAGAGGAAGAGCAGCTCTGAGGTCAGAGCCTCTAGAAAGGTTGGTTTTGAGACCACAGCTTTTTATCTGATTGTTTTTTGTTTTTTTTTTTTTCTTGTTTTTGTTTTAAGTATATTTTGTACAGACTGTTAAGTGGCAACGGTTAACCACTTGACCTCTCTGCATGTACGCATTCTGCCACAGGTTTCAGCTTCGGAGAAGAAAAACCGTAAAAGCCAGAAGATGCATTTGTCACCAGAGGGCAGTTCAGCGCTGAGGACATCCAAATCCACAGATAAACTGTCTCGTATCAGCTGCGAATGCCACGAGGCTGCTGACAGGAGGAGGTGCCTGGGTTCACCCGAGCTCGAAGGTCAGGAGGGCAAAGAGAACGAGCTGAGGTCAGAGCAGGAGGTCAGCAGCTGCAAAGCTAACAGCGTCTTGGAGGAGCAGGCTCCTGAATGTGTGGAACCCGAAAACAGTAGCAGAGTCTTATTCCCAGATGACGACAGTAATCAAATCCTTCCTGTGGAGCAGTTCTTTGGGAACTTGGATATTGTACAGGTGAGGCTTTGAGGTCTGCAAGTTGTGTAAGCTGCTATTATTACAAGTCAAAAAGCCCAAAGGTGTCAGAAAAGGTCAGGTTGAACCTTCACCAAGTCATATCAGTTTGTTTTTGTGGTTACACAATTTCTGTAGGGCCTTACAAAGTTCAAAATTTAATAATCATTCAATAACTATAAAGAAAATTGAGTCCTTAAATATGCCTAGATTTTTCCAAGCAAGTATCAAATTGCCATTATTTAGGACATTTTGTTTATTCGGTCAGTTTTAATTTGTTGGAGGCCAGATGTGTTGCATATTAAAAAAGGAAAGCCGCCTTTGTTTAAGATTTGAACGCCATATAAATAGAATAATCCTTTGAAATTGCTTTCTTATGTGCTTTTTTGTATTTAATATTTTTAAACAGTTTGTTTATTACAATTTTTTCTCCTGTTTAGGCTAGCTAAGCACTTGGCTGATATAAATTAAAACCAAATTAGCTTGCCTTAGCTCTAAGCAGCACATCTGCACATCGACAACCCCACAAATAATAATTACCTCAAAATGTTTTCCTCATTATTGGTTGACAGATATTTTATATCTTTATTGGATGGATTTTCGCATCTGGTGGATTCTGTGGTTATTTTTTATGTTCTCTATTTGGTACGTGATTGAATTCATGACAAGGTAACTTCAGAGTAAATAACCTTTTTTAATACTTTTAAAATGTCTATAAAAGGTGAAAACATTGAAGGGAGGGTCAAACGACAGATTTCTCGCAGGCAGCTGTGCCAAGTCAAAAGTCTTGTACGAATCTTTGTTCCTGCAGGACTTTCCTCGGAGATCACCTGCTACTTCTCCCAGCGCTCGAAGGAAGGAGAGGTTTCGGCATTACTACGCCCAGGAAGACAGCGATGGCGAAGAGGTGAGCCACGGCGCCCTCCGACGAGACGACGGACCCGGCACTTAGAGAAGAGCCGGTTAAAACAGAACAACATCCCAGCACTTTGGAAGAAGCGACAACAAACTACCTGCTCAGATGCTGCATTCAGTCGGTCCTCTTCATCTGTCGAAGTCTCAGCGCCATCACTGATGTGAGGATAATGAAGGATGGTTAGTGGTACTGGCTGCCAAAGGAATACTTCATTGGCAGTGTTTCTAGCGGTGCTAAAGTGCGATTGTAAACGCGGAAATGTTCTTCGCTGAAAGCATCCGGTTTGGTGCCGGATGCTTTCGTGCCGTTTACTCACATGCCAACAATCAGTAAAAAAAATTATAATATGTAAGCAAACACAAGTGCTTTGTTTTGAAACTGTATATAGGGTCGCATATACTCTCATAAATCCACGCTCGGTTGTAGCCTACCTTTTTCAGAGCGCTCAGCGGCACTTCAGGAGATATTTTAAAAAAAAGAACAAAATATGAGGAGGACAACAGATTGACTAGAAATGCACCAGTCAGAATTGTGCTGCTAATTTCCAATTTTTGTAAAGCACTAAGCTCAAGTTAATGCTGATTGTAGCCAATTAAGTTTTCTCTCCAAGAGAGATCCATTTTTTTGTCCTTCCATAAGCATCTTAAAATTGAAAGTGTTGAGTCTTCTTTCTTAACAACTTCCATGCTGAACAGTGTTATTGCAACACACAGCCTGGTTTTTTGTTGCACTTATTGATGAGGTAAAACAAAACAAAACAAAAAAAAGATTCAATTTGACTGGCCAGAGCCAGTCAAGTTGAAAATCTGCTCCGTCTCTTACTGCTCTTTTTGAGTATTGATTAGCTGATGCAAAAATATCAACGTCCAGGTGCTCTAAATGACAATATCTCTGCTCCAGGCAGTGTACTTTAATGTCTGGATTGTGGAAGTGCTGAACACAAATCTGATATTGGTTTCCTATCATTTGAATAACTACAACAAACTATTCACTTAAAAGTTGAATAGTTTCAACGCAATCCTTTTAACTTTCTGCAGGCAGTTTGTATACATGCCGTATACTGTACTGTCATTTCAGGGTTGCTGTAATGTTGCATTATCCAGCTGTATCTTATCAGGATCCAACCACTTTAACATTCACTCTGAGATGTCAAACATTGCTGAATTAAACGTAACATTTTAATGGTGCTTGTATAACTAATTAAGTTTATACACTGATGAAAATTTCATACAAATTACAGCAGATTGACAAATATGCAAGCCTATGTCAGGCTACCTAAATGTTACGAGGAAAGAAAGCTGGAGAACGCCCAAAGAGCAGATCTGTTCATTACAAGGT